TCATGATCCTGGAGCCCCTGGATCGAGTCCCGCATCGGGCTCCCTGCTCGGCAGGGAGTCTGCTTCTCCCTCTGACCCTCCCCCCTCTCATGTGTTCTCTCTCTCCTTCTCTCTGTCAAATAAATAAATAAAATCTTTAAAAGAAAAAAAAATCCATTACTGAAAAAAATTCATTACTGTCTGCCTCACCCCTAATGAACTGAAATGCTACTCTATTCTACACTATAGCCTTTCACCATGGGGTGGTATCTTACTTGAAAGGTTCTAAAGTAAGCACATAAACTGAAAATCAATATGGTCAAAATTTTACACTGGAAAATCTCTTTAATCGTTTATAGCACTGTATGATAGTCACACGATGAGAAATACACAGGAGTCAAGACTGATTAAGAAAGGAAGATTCACCCTGTTCACTTTGCACTCCCTCTGAGAGGTACACTATTGAGTCAAGTGACAGGCAGGAATCATCCCACCACTTAATGTGCACATGCAATTGTTCTGCTGTTTAGACTTAGATGTGTTTCAGAATGCCACTCTGATGCCCATTCTTGCTCCAATACTGTACTAATATTTTAATTACTCTAACTTAAAAATCTAGATGTTAAATATCTAACTCAAATATCCCAATAGATATTTAAATATATTGTGAACTTAAAGTTAACACACTTACACCTTTCTACCACCCGTTACTCTTTTATTGCTTTGAGCATCTTTTCTTTGAATTTTGGAAACATTATACCTATCTTGTCTCCCAAAAACAGGGATTTTGATTGGGGGAAGTAGCAACATTTTTATATATGTGTATATATATATACAGTTACATAGTTATATATATATGTGTGTATACATACACACACACACTTTTTTTTTTAAGATTTTATTTATTTATTTGAGAGAGCGTGAGCGCAAGCAGGGGTATGGGCAGAGGGAGAGGGAGAAGCAGACCCTCCTGCTGAGCAGGGAGCCCAATGCAGGGCTTGATCCCAGGATCATGACCCGAGCTAAAGGCAGACACTCAACTGACTGAGCCACCCAGGCGTCCCCAGCTCAGTCATTTCTTACTGTTACAAGCCTGGGCAAGTCATTTTAAAAGAATGTACACTGATGGGGTGCCACGCTGGCTCAGTCAGTAGAGCACGCAACTCTTGATCTTGGGGTCATGAGTCTGAGCCGCACGTGGGGTGGAGATTACTTAAATAAATGAAACTTTAAAAAAAGTGGGGCACCTGGGTAGCTCAGTCGGTTAAGCATCCAACTCTTGACTTCAGCTTAGATCATGACCTCAGGGTCCTAAGATGAAGCCCTGCACCCAGCTCCACACTCAGCAGGGAGTCTGCTTGAGATTCCGTACTTTGACCTCTCCCTTTACCCCTCCCCCTGCTTGCAAGCTGTCTCTCTCTAAAATTAATAAATCTTAAAAAAAAAAAGAGAGAATGTTCACGTTTATAGGTTAAATGTTCAAATTACATCGTTGAATCAAAAAAATTTTTTTAAAGATTTTATTTATTTATTTGACAGAGAGAGACACAGGGAGAAAGGGAACACAAGCAGGGGGAGTGGGACAGGGAGAAACAGGCTTCCCGCCGAGCAGGGAGCCCAATGTGGGGCTTGATCCCAGGACTCTGGGATCATAACCTGAGCCGAAGGCAGACGCTTAACCAACTGAGCCACCCAGGCGCCCCAAAATTATTGCTTTTATTAATGTAAACTAGTCCTCTTTTTTCCAATTTGATGCTTTTTTGCCTTCTATTTTACTTTTTCTAATTTGGGGAAACTCTCATTTGCCTAGTGTATTTTTGCCCATCCCTTTATTTTTCATTAATCTGTAATTAAGTATGTCATTCGTGAGGTGAGCGGGGTTGGGGTGGGTTAAACACGTGATGGGCACTTGTGATGAGCAGTAGGCCTATGTAAGTGATGAATCACTAAATCCTATACCTGAAACTAATATTACAGTGTATGTTAATTAGGTGGAACCTAAATAAAAACTTGGAGGAAAAAATAAGTATGCCACTTGTAATTGGCACAGAGTTAGATTTTACAGAGGAATTACTCTCGAGAGTTTAACAAATTTATTGAATGTCTATTACTTGCCAGACACCTTTAATCCATTCAAATACATTGTAATAACAGATCTGTTCGGTTTGCTCCGAGAGATATCTTAAAAAATATTAATCTTAAACCATCTTAAAAACCCTCCTCTGGTTCCTCCGGTGTCTGAGCAATCAAGTGAACTTGCATGCTATAAAAGGCTCTTTGTGACCTGTTCTTTGTTTTCCTTTCAGTCTCATCTTGTTATTTCTCAACCCGTTATCCTATATCCACTTCAGCCCCACCTACATGCAGTTCTCCAAACTTAAACACACCTTTCACAAAAATCTGTTGTCTATACCTGAATTCTTTCCCTCTTCTATTCATTCTTCAGGATTTAGCTCGAAGACCCATGGCCTTCACTAACACCACCTCCACATCACTGCTTTGTCCCTCTCTTCCAACTTTCAATTGCCAACAAAATAACCCTACTTGAATATCCTGCAGGCTTCTCAGATTCCATATGCCCCAAACTGAAACTCTCATCTCCCCACAAATGAGCTCATTTTCCCTTGTTCCCTAACTCAATAAACTAGGTACTACCACCCATCCTCTTGCTAAAATAAAATCACAAGCACCTGGGGCACCTGGGTGGCTCAGCTGTTAAGCATCTGCCTTCAGCTCAGGTTATGATCCCAGAATCCTGGGATCGAGCCTCGCATCGGGCTCCCTGCTCCGTGGGAAGCCTGCTTCTCCCTCTCCCACTCCCCCTGCTGTGTTCCCTTTCTCGCTGTGTCTCTGTCAAATAAATAAATAAAAACTTAAAAAAAAAATCACAAGCACTATATCTGGCTCAGACTCCTTAATTTCCACCATGTCCTGCTAATTCTATTCATGAATTTCACTCAAATTCATCAGTGATTTCTATCCCTCCTGCCTCTACCTAGTTTGGCCACCAATGTCTAATCCGGATTACTGAAACCATTTCCTACTCACTTCCCTATACCTCCAATCTTAATTTCCCCTGCAACCCATCCTCCCCAATGCTCCTAGAATACTTCTGTCTAAATACAACTCTGAACATGTTATTCCTCTGCTTTTAAACTTCAGTGGATAAGGACAGGGATGGGTAACTCTGAAGATACAAGAACCCTCCACACCATGTCCTTAAAATAAATTCCAAACTCCTAGGGCACCTAAGTGGCTCAGCTGGTTAAGCGTCCAACTCTTAATTTCAGCTCAGGTCATGAGATTGAGCTCTGCTCCGCACTGGGTGTGGAGCTTACTTAACTCTCCCTCTCCCTCTGTCCCTCACCCCCATGTGGGATCACGCTCTCTCTCTTAAAAAGAACAAAATTAGGACACCTGGGTCGCTCGGTTGGTTAAGCATCTGCCTTCGGCTCAGGTCATGATCCCGTAGTCGCAGGATCAAGCCCCACATAGGGCTCCCTGCTCTGCTTCTCCCTCTCCCTCTACTCCTCCCCCCACTCGTGCTCTCTCTGTCTCTCTCTCTCATTTACTCTCTCTAATAAATAAAATCTAAAAAAATAAAAATAAAAAATAAAAATAAATTCCAAACTCCTAAAGCCAGAAAGAAACTGAAAAGTATTTGGTCCAATCCTCTCATTTTATAACTTGAAAAGATGAAACCCAGGAGTGCCTAGGTGGCTCAGTTAATTATCTGACTCTTCATTTCGGCTCAGGTCATGATCTCAGAGTTGTGAGATCAAGCTCCATGTAGGGCTTCTCACTGGGCGTGGAGACTACTTAAGATTCTCTCTCTCCCTCTCCTCCCCTCTCTCTACCCCCCAACACAAAGATGAAACCCAGACAGGTTAAGTGATTTGTCCAAGATCAGACGAGAAATTTTAGGAAATGTCTAGGATTGCATTCAGGTGTACTATCAGTCCAGTATGCTTTCCACTACCCTGTGTCCATTCAGATTATACTAGAATAATACAGTATTAAGAATGCTTCATGTTACCTACCTCACTCTTCCATTCAGATTTATCTGAACATGCTGCTTAAAATCTGGATATTTGGTTGCCAGATATGCAAAGTCAGGAGGTTTGTCCTTGTATCTATTTCTTGCATGCATTGATTTACTCAGAGCCATCTTTAAAAAGAAAAAAAAGGAAAAAAGTCAGCATATTTAGTCAAAAAATACATTAATGGGGAAAAGCTGTGGTTGCCAAGTCAACAGTTACAGCCAACATATTTTTGCCAATCAACTGAGAAAGTAGAAGTTATATTTTTCAAATGTACACAACAAATAAGCACATTAAAATATGCTTAACATCACCATGAGTCATTAGGGAAATGCAAATCAAAACCACAATATCAATTCATACCCAGTAGGATGGCTATTATTAAAAAAGAAAAAAAAAGTTAAGAGAAGTATTGGTGAGGATGTTAGGAAATTGGAGCATTGAAGGTGGGAACGTATACAATGGCTGTGGAAACAGTTCAGCAGTTCTTAAAAAGTTAAACATAGAATTACCACCATATGATCCAGCAATTCCACTCCTAGGTATACACCCAAGAGAACTGAAAGAAGGGATTCAAACGGTATTTGCACATCAATGTTCACAGCAGCATTATTCACAACAGCCAAAAGAGTAGGAACAACCCCGTGTCCATAAATGGATAAAGAAAATGTGGTACATACATACAATGCAATGTCCTTCAGCCAAAAAAAGGAATAAAATTCTGATACATCCTACAACATGGATGAACCTTAAAAACATTATTCTGGGACACTTGGGTGGCTCAGTCGGTTAAGCGTCTGCCTTCAGCTCAGGTCATGATCCCAGGGTCCTTGGATCAGGTCCCATAACGGGCTCCCCGCGCAGCAGGGAGACTGCTTCTCCCTCTCTCCCTCTGTGTTCTCTCTCTCTTTCTCAAATAAATAAATATTTTAAAAAAACATTATGCTAAGGAAAATAAGCCATATTCAAAAGGACAAATGTTGTATTATCACACTCGTATTAGATACCAAGAATACGCAAATTCATAAAGAGAGTAGAATAGAGGTTACCAGGGTTTGGGGAGGAGGTATGAATGTTGAATTATTATTTAATGGGTTTCTGTTTAGGATGATGAAAAACTTCTAGAAATGGACAGTGGTGATGGTTATACAACAGTGTGAAGGTACTTAATGCCACTAAACAGTACACTTAAAAATGCTTAAAATGGTAAATTTTATGTTATGTATATTTTATCACAGCTTGAAATGCGTACGCAACATACGGGTTTTTTTTAAACCATGAAAACTGGAAACTATTCTTTTGAAAGCATCAAAGGGGGCAGAAGGCAGTATAATCTATAGCCAAGAACTAATAGAGGTTAGTTTTTACAGGGGTCTTGTATGGACTGAATACTTTGTAGCACATCATAAAGTCACAAATGTTTCAAAATATATCTTCTATTTTATAAATTTCAGTCTTGTCATTCCTAGGTAGCTAAAACCAAATGAAAACAATTTTGTCTCCTTCCAGATTACAAAAAAAAATTAACACATTTATAGCAAGATACAAAACTGAAGAAAAGCCACTGATTGTAGTGTTTGTTTTTTTTTCTTTTCAAAGATTTTATTTATCCATTTGAGAGAGAGAATGAGAGAGAGAGAGAGCGTGAGAGGGGGGAGGGTCAGAAGGAGAAGCAGACTCCCTGCTGAGCA